GCAGCACAGGCCAGTCTAAGTGCTGTGTCCGCACTTCACCCTGGCAAACCAGCTAACTTTGTTTGAGACTGTTTCTGCATCCAAGATGAGGATTACAACAGTTCCTTATAACACCCGGAACAGAAAATGAGGCCAAAAACGAGGCTACTGCAGTCTCTGCCATCCCACAGGCCACAGTCCTTTTCCTTACATTATTTTCACCCTTTTGTCCTTCACATCTACCCCAATGTTTATTTCTCTGTTTTTTTTTTTTTTTTTTTTTTTTTTGAGACAGGGTTTCTTTGCTGTCCTGAACTTGCTTTGTAGACCAGGTTGTCCTTGAACTCACAGACTATGCTTGCCTCTGCCTCCCCGAGTTCTGACATTACAAGCAGGGCTCCCAATGCTCATTCCAAAGAAGCACATGAAAGCATTTTGCGGCAGAGAGAGAAGGCAGGAAGTTCCCAAGTGAGATTTTTCTAGGGCAGACCTAACTCTCTCACCCTGTCCTTTTTCTTGGTCTTAATTTTTCCTCTTCTATCCTGAGCTTACTTACGAATCAGGCCCTAAGCTAGGCAGGGCTTTGCTGGGCAGTGAAGCAGAAACAGTCATAAGGACAACCTGGAGAATGCCTCTACCAGCACAGTATCCAAGTTCCTCAGGTGCTTAAGCTGATACCCAGGCTGGATGGAGGGTGGAGGAAGGGCAGGGTCAAACTGATTGCTAGGACAATAAAACACATCAATCCTAACTGGTTAACAGCTCCTGTCTGGGTACCTGCCTAGCCTGGTGCTCTGATTGGTCCATGGCTAGATGGAGATTTGCATACAGCCTTTGAGCCAATGGGCTGGTGGGTTGGTCAGTTTTGCATTGCCATGACAAAGTCCCAGGAAGAGACTACCTAAGGAGGTTGTGTTTAGTTTGTAGTTGGGAGAATTCAAACTCAGTGGGGGTCCTATCCTTTCAGATCTCTGGTGAGGATGGTGGGTGGCAATGATGAGAGCAGATGGCAAAGGGAGTGGTCACACGGTGGGTTAGGAAGAGGGGAGGAAGAGTGGGGGGAGGGAGAGAGGGTGAGAGCATGGCGGTTTGAATACGAATGACCTCCCCCCCTTAGGTTTAGATACCCGAACACCTGGTCCCCAGTTGTTGGTGCAGTTTGAGGAGGGGTAGGAAGAGGTGCTGGAGGAAGTATGTCACTTGGGGGTAGGCTTTGAGGTTTCAAAGCCTTGAGCCATTCTCAGTTCGCTCTCTCTGCTCCCTGCTTACTGTTCAAGACCTGAGCTCTCAGCCTGCTGCTCTAGCCGCTGTGCCTGCCTGCTGTTGTGCTTCTCTGCTGTGACACGCTGGGACCATAAGTCCAAATAAACCCCTCCCTCTGTACAGGCTGCCTTGGTCATTATGTCTCATAACAACAATAGAGAAGTAATTAATACAGGGGAGGGAAGAGGAAGAGGGGACAGGGGGAAGAGGATGAAGCCAGAATCTCCCGTCAGGGAGTACTGTCAATGACCTAAAGAGCTACTCTTGACCTCTGACCCCCTAAAGTTCCCACCATATGCCAGTGACATCACCCTGGAGACCAAAGCTTCAATCAGGAAGCTCTGGGGTTTTGAAACCCCAACCATTACCTAAAGCCAAGTAGCTGTGTTTGGTGTGGGATGGACCGACAGGATAGGCATGAAGCTGGAGGCTGAACTCAGCTCTCCATGGTGCCTTCCAGGTCAGAAGCAGCAATGGTCGTCCAGGTCAGCTAGCTGTTCTGGGGGCTGGTACTTGCCTAGCAGAATGCCTGGCTTCTATTAGGGTACAGTGTCCAAGAGCCCACTCAGGGATCCCCAAGTGTCAGGACCCAGTGTCCCTCCCTGGGAAACCCAGGTATGCTCACTGTCTTTTGGCTTATGCATTTGCTGAAACATATTTAGCTCACAGAATACAAAGGAAGGGATCCTCTGGTCAGGATTCTCGGCTGTGGTGATGGAAGGGCTGCAATCATCTCTGAGGTCTTTTCCTTGAAGAGTCAAATTCCCAGGAGAAATTTTGATTGGCTCAGCCTGTATCACATGATAGCACCTTGACCAGATAAGTCAAAGTCTTGATTGCCAGCCCTAAGCTTAGAAAAAGGCAGTTTTTTTAAAAAAATTTGTTAGCATAGTAATTATATGTATGGGTTTCAATATGACATTTTTATATTTGTATATAATAGTTTGATCATAATTACCCACCAGTACCATCTTTTGTCTCTCCCCGCTCCTTGATCACCTTCCTCTTCCTGACTGATCCCTCTGTACTTCTTAGGTCTTTAGTGATCTAATGGATTTTGTTAGAGTGGCTTCTTGAGCTCCTCCTTGCTCCATGGCAGAATGTTGGCAGGGACAGTCTGTGAGCCCGAGAGTGCAACAGGTTATGCCCAGAAGATAGCATTCCCCGCTGGGCGCTGTGGTGCAAGCCTGTAATCCCAGCACTCTGTGAGGCAGAGGCAGGCGGATCTCTGTGAGTTCAAGGACATCCTGGTCTACAAAGCAAGTCCAGGACAGCCAGGGCCATACAGAGAAACCCTGTCTCAAAAGAAAAAAAAAATAGCATTCCCCAATACTCCCTCCCTTCCTCTGGCTCTCACATTCTTTCCACTTTATTATTGAGCAGCCAGCCACTCCTTTTCATCACTTTGACTGGTTATGGGGCTCTGTTGTTACCATCGCCCACTGTTTAAATAGTCTTCTTTTGTCAAAGCTGACCACAGCACTCTTCAATTGGCATAAGCATTATTTAACAGGCAATGTGACCGGTACATTATTTCCATTTATCGAAACAACACTAGTTGCTTCTCCACTAGAGCCCACACCATCCCAGCCATAGGCTTTAAAAAGGCTTACAGACACCAGTTCCCTTCTGTGGATCAGGTTTCAGACTCAATCAGAAAATGCTTGGTTATCTTCATAACAGCCTTGCCACTGTTACACTGGTGGGCACATCTTGCCTGGAAGGTGGGCAGGGTAGCATGTAAGACTCTAGATGATAAGTCCCTTCTCGGCAGCCTGTGTAGCATCTGCTGGGGCTCTCAGGGTCCAGTCTGAAATGAGGAAGCTTCTGGCTCAGTCCCAGCTTAATCTCCCTATGTCCTGTGACCAGATTGTATAGTCTTTGGCATTAGGGCCTTAACATTCTTGAGGGCATTTGAGAGTCATTTTTAAAAGATTTATTATTATTATTTTAAATTATGTGAACACATGTGTTATCTGTGTATGGGTTTGTGTATTTCCCTTTTTTAAAAAGATTTAAAAATTTAAATTGTGTGTTTGTGTGTGTGTGTGTGTGTGTGTGTGTGTGTGTGTGTCAATGTGAGTTGTGCAAATGGATGCAGTGCCTATGGAGGCCAGAAGAGGGCACCAGGTCCTCGAGCGCTAGAGTTACAGCTGTGTGTGAACTGATAGTAGTGGGTATTGGAAACAGCCTAGGTCCTCCGCAAGAGCTGTGCGTTCTCCTAACTGCTGAGTCATCTCTCCAGCCCCAAGAATGTTTGCTTGGAGGCAGAAACTTGTTTGTATAGCTCTGGCTGACTCTGAACTTGATAAGGTAGACCAGGCTATCCTCAAACTCAAAGAAATGTGCCTGTTCCTTTCTCCCAACTATAATCCTTATTCAGACAAATACATACCAACCAAAGTCAAATTAATTTAATCCAAGTAGATTATTCAAGCCAGCATAAGGTTTTTGTTTATCTTCTTAGAGTGAGTTAACTCAGATCATATATCAGGTACATAAAAAAAAAAGTTTGGGGTGGAGGGTAGGGTGGCTGGAACCATGGTTCTGTTGGCAAAACACTTTGACGAAAGTGGGAGGACCTGAGATCCCCAGCGTCCGCTTTAAGAGCTAGGCCAACACCGCACATCCATAATCGCTTCTGGAGCTCCTAAACTGACTAATCAATGAGCTCCAGGTTCAATGAAAAACCTGTTTCAAAAAATAATATGAAGAGCAGTTGAGAAGTAACCAAAGTTGACCTCTGGCCTGCACACATGTGCTCCTGTGTGTGTGTGTGTGTGTGTGTGTGTGTGTGTGTGTGTGATGCACGGGAGCACAGAGAGGGAGAGGAAGAGGAGAGGAGAGGCAGAGGAGGGGAAGGGAGGGGAGAGGAGGGGAGAGGAGAGACTGCTGGCTAGTTTTCTGTCAACATGACATGATCTAGAGTGGTTTAAGAGGAAGGAACCGCAACTGAGAAAACGCCGCCATAAGCTCAGGTTGTAGGCAAGCCTGTTGGGCATTTTTGTAACCAGTGATTGACGGAGGCGGGCTCAGGCCATTGTGGGTGGAGACACCAATGGGCTGGTGGTCCTGAGTTCTATAAGAAAGCAGGCTGTGCGGCAGGAGCCACCATAATATAATGTGTGGTGGTTAGATGGGAGATAAAGAGTGTTGTAGTCCAAGAATAGCCACACAAACCAGACACCAATCTCAGTCAGACATGGATGGTTAACACCTGTTCCAAGCTGATTGCAAGCAGGGCCACAGAAAGGACTCAGGAGCCTAATTGTGCTACTGGTCTGTCCTTACAGCAGGCTTTTTATAGGAAAACCAAGTGCAGAAGCCCTTGGGGTGGGGGTGGGGGCAGCCAGAAATACATTTTAAGTTCACTTTGGCTAACTAGACAAAGTATTATCAGCTAACCTTGAAGCTGATTGGTCCTAAGTGAGGTAAGAGAGGCGGGGGTCAGAGTCCTCCAGAGTACAGCCAAGTGCAGAGATAAGGCATAGAGTGTAACCAGAGTGCAGCCAAGTATGGAACTAACATAGCATGAATTATGACACTATTGAGTCATAGTAAAATAGAAGATTAACTTGACCCTCTGGCAGGGTTTGTTAGTGTCAGCTTTGAATAACTACCTCTAGGAAGCAGGATTAAAATTTTTTAACTTAATATTACCTTTAAACAAAAATGGATACTGAATACAAAATAGCTTCACCTTTGTAACAAAGAGCAGGTCTGTTGTGGATATAAACATGTTTTTGTTTTGCTCCCAGGTGTGGGATGTGGGACTGATGCAGATGGTCCACAGCAGCAGACTATTTGCCTCATGCTGGCTCTGAGAGGAGCTCTTTGCCAGCTGCAGATATTTTAAATCTGAGGACTCTGGAGAGAGAACAAATGCCAGAGCCCAGAGAGTGTGGAGGAGCTCCGAGAAAGAACAGGCTGCTGCTGCTTCCTCCTGTGGTTCCTGATTGCTGACGATGCAGTGAGACAAGAAGTTGGAGATCTCCTGGAAGGAGGATTGGACTGGCTATAAGGAACCTGATGACCCTAACCAGCAGGAAGCAGCTAAGAGAACTGAGGCCCCTCTCCCACTAACCCTTTATTCTACCTGGTGTTGGGATGTTGGAAGGGATTGGGTGGAGCAGGGAGAAAGAGTTATAAGAAACATAAATAAATGAGTTTTTAAAAAGTACACCAACACAGGCCCTAATGAGAAGTGGAGCAGCTTGAACATCATGAAGAAGAGATGGAACTGGAGACTTGAGGGTGGAGGGTGTTGGGCTTCAGACCCAGACAAGCAGCTTGAAGTGCCTTTTCAACCAAGGTGGATCTGACCTCCAGGTTCTCCCAGCATCCTTTGGTCCCTACCTGCTGCAGGGCATGGCTGCCCTCTCCATCCCAGAGATTCTTCACTATATAATTCAGACATTTTGGGTTCCCTCTCTCTTCTTCTCTTTTTCTTCTCTCTCTTCTTTCTGCATTTCTTCTTCTTCTCCTCCTCCTCCTTCCCTCTCTCTTTCTGTCTGTCTCTCCCTCCCTTCCCCAGCCCCTCCCTCTGTTTGGATACTTTCTGTCTCCCCTTGCATGGTGACTTCTCTGGCCCCATTCTTTGGGACCAGTGAACCCGCCTAATAAACCTGCATTTATGTACTTGTCTTGAATTAGCTCATTTCGACACCGAATAATGCTTATCAGAGAGCAATAGCCTGTTGTGAGTGGCCAGCTCAGCTCCCTGGGGCCACGGTGAGCTCCCTGCCAGAGCTATGTCGGGGTCTGTGGCTATGCAGCAGCAGGAGGGGTCGATGTTGATGTCTGCGACTCATTACCATTAGAGAACATAGGGTCACCCCTGGTTGGGGCAGCCAAGCCACCAGGGACCATGTAGACGTCCTGGGGCTGTGCAGGTCTGGCCCTGCCCCTAACTGACCATCTCTGGCTGTTAGGGAGAGTTGGCTCCACCTCTCACTGGGGGGCAGCCTTCGGGAGGGCAGGCTCTGTACCTCACCAAAGCAGCACAGCAGAGCTGGCCCTGATGGTCGGGGTGTGGGTGAGCTGGCCCTAGGGTGTGAGTGTGGGGGAGCTGATCCTGCTGACACTGACACTCCAGTGCCTTGGGAAAGGTGTCCACAGAACCATGAGCTCTGGAGAGCTGGCCCTCCCCCACCCCTCACCGGCTGCAGCATCAGTCCAGAGAAAGCAGCCCTGAGCCTGCCTGCACAACACAGCAGAGCTGACCCTGGTGGTGAGGGCGCAGGTGAGCCGCCCAGAGGGCGAGGGCACAGGAGGGCTTGGCCCCGCCTCTCATCTGCCATGAGGTGTGCGGTGGAGGAGGAGGTGATGCCTTCCATCCTTGTCCCTCTCCACCTGCTGTAGTCTGGGAGAGCTGACCCCCAGGCATGAGAGTAGGAGAACTAGCCTTACTCCCTCACTGGCTGTAGCACTTAGAGAAGTGGACCCTGCACTTCACTTGGGCAACACAGTGGAGCTGGCCAGCAGGCGTGAGAGCAGGAGAGTTGATCCCGCCTCCTGCCGTTATTGGCATTGGGTGGCTTAGCAAGAGCTTCACCTGAGTGGGCCTGGGCAGCACAAAGCTGACCAGCTTGGCTCCACCCAGGCCCAGATCCAGGGCTCTGAGTTGGCCCACCCCAAAAATTCCATGTCATCTGTGAATATTTGGGACATGTGAAAAGGCCAGTCCTGCTGACCCAAAGCTGCAGGATCTCCGTGAACGTTGTGCAGCAACAGGATAACCGGGAGGAATCCCAATGAGGAGCCAATATTGATGGTGTCACAGAAGCCAGAGATCTCGAACCAAAGCAATGACTCATTGCAATGAACATTTGCAAGTGAGGATGTGTGGGCAGAGGGGTATACTGTGGGACACACTGTGACATATTTGCACAGTGAGATATTTTCTATGCTTTGGGTTTTGTTTGTGTGTTTTTAATTGGGGGGGTATTGCAAGGGTGAAGAGCAGATATGAGGGTACAGAGAGATGAGCAGGACTGGGGTGCATGATGTGAAACTCACAAGGAATAAATAAAGAGCTAAAAAGGAAAGAAAGGAAAGAAAAAAGAAAGGGAGAAAGAAGAAAGAAAAAAGGAAGGAAAGAAAAGAAAAAAAAAAAGAAAAGAAAGGCTGAGTAAGCCATGAGGAGCAAGCCAGGAAGCAGCACTCCTCCATAGGCTTTGCATCAGCCCCAGCCTCCAGGTTCCTGCCCTGTGTGAGTTCCTGTCCTGACTTCCTTCAGTGATGAACAGTGCTGTGGAAGTGTAAGCCAAATAAACCCTTTCTTCTCCAAGTTGTTTTTAGTCGTGGTGTTTCATCACAGCAAGAGTAACTGGCTAACATGCATACGCCACAGTAGTTTCTGGAGACATATCTCTGTTCCTTTTCTATCTCCCACTCTTTGTGTTGTCTCCACCCAAGGCCAGGGCAGACACTGGTCATCTCCATAGCAAGAGGAATTCCAACAAATGTCTCCATCAGTGTTGGGTGACCTAAAATGTCACCATCAAGGAGCTCATTCCCTTGAGTCAAACACTACCTCATGGTAGGTTTTAAGGTGTTAATCCACTCTGTGTTTATAATCCCAGCTGTCAGGAGGCTGAGGCAGGAGGATTTCAAGTCTGGGGCCAGCCTAGATACATAGACATAGGAAGACTCTGTGTCTAAAAATAAATTAATTAATAGAACAAAGAACAGACAGGCTAATATTGGTCTTGGTTCCCTAGCTCCTTTCTTTGCTTAGGATTCCCTTGAACAACTCTGGAATGCTGAAATCAGTCTGAGAAAAGGAAACCTGAGCAGAGGGGGTAGAGACAGCTTACCTGTCCTCTAAATAAGTGGGAAACCTAGATGCCTTACTTCCTGTATCTCAAAACCACAGCAACAACTGACATGGGCTGGAAATATTAATAATATACATTGCTGGTAAGTTGTGGCCCGGCAGATGGTAAGCCCGTGAACTCTGAGTTCACCCAGCTCCCTTTCTCTCCCCACCCACACTCCTCAACCTGACGACTGAAATTCTGGGTTCAGTACTGCTAGGAAGAGGTAAACAGAGGCCCACAGGTGGGGAAGCAGGTATCCTGGAGGGGGCAGGTGTCAAGACGACAGGCGACACAGGTGCTGTCTTACACCCGTCGCTGCTGCTTCGCCTTTTTGTAGCTCGGGCTTCCCCGGGAGCTGTTGTCAACCTAGATCAGAAAAGGTCAACTCAGAAGTGTCTGCCCTGCACTCACGCAGCGGGCTCCCTGCACTGGACTCCCTGTGTTACAGGGACCAACACTGGTCTGTCTGTCTCCTATTGTAGTCCTTCCAGACCTTAGGACAAAGTAAAATTTCTTCAGAACCCCTAGTGCTCCGTGTGACCAGGACAGCAGGACTCCCTGAGTCAATGGTCCTTCCCGGGCTCTGCAGGGCATCCAGCAGCTTTCCTAGGATTATTTTTCCTGGGCCTGGAGTGTGGACATCGTCTGATGCTGTGGGCAGGAGGAGCCAGGGAGTCGGGAAGAGCAGATAGGCTGCAGCTGGAAGGCTGTCTCCCTCTACCTCTACTGTCTGTGCTGATATAAAATTCCAAAGTGTCTAAAAATCCTATGGAGAGGATGGAGAGGAAGCCACCTTTGCCAGGGAAAGAAGAGAATAGTGTTTAAATATTGAGACCTATAGCATGCGACTTTTGTGCTTCCTTCCAGGTCATGTAGATGTTAGGGGCAAATCTGATCCATCACTGTAAATTGTTGGTCTGTTGATTGTTTAGACATTGGAGCAGAGTGTGGTACAACACAGTTGTAATTCCAGCACCCAAAAAGCAGAGTCAGAAGAATTACTTCAAGTTAAAGGCCAGCCTGGGCTATTTAGTGCCAGGACGGTCAAGACTACATAGACAGATCGGGCCTCAAAATAAACAGATAAACTCATTATCCTAAAAAATGGATTTGAATGCTGAAGTGTGATTCAGTGACAGAATTTGCCTACCATGTTGGAGGTCCTGGGTTCCTTCCTCAGTACCAGCAAAGGAGGAAAACACAGGAAAAAGAAACTCATGTAGGAATTAGGATTTTAGCTTTTCTTCCAAGTTGGGAAATGCAGCAATCACTGTGTCTGAATTCCAACACGACGCTACTCAGTGCAACTACAGAGACATGGCTTATGCTTTTGGTTTGTGTCACTCTCCAATTCACTGCACTTCCAGTGTCTGTGTGTTCCTAAGAACTGGTCCAGCCAGGGGTCATTCCCATCATGAGCAGCTAGCTGGAATGAGATGTCTGTACTCAACAGCTGCCTCTCCCAAGTCCCTGTGTGGGGACACAGCGCTGCTCCCAGCCTCAGCAATTTTACCAGGCTGATCAGAAAGGAGAAGTAGAACCACTGAGGGTCATTAGAAAGTGGAGAATGAAACGGGAAGAGAAGTCCTTGCTGAGAGATGGGACCAGCACACGTGAGCTTGCATTTCTAGTTCTGGCCCCAAGTCTCATTCAGAAGATGCCCCAGGCCAGTCATGTGCCTTGTGTGGGGGTTTCTAGGGGGAAATCACCATGCTGCAGCAGGGGTGGGGAAGAGGTACCTCTGACTGGAAGGAAGCCTGCCTAGGAAAGGCCAACTTGTGGTCGGCTGCAAAGAAAACTGGACCCAGAATTCTGTGTCCCCCGGAGTGACACAGAACACAGTGACAGGGCTTCTTTGCTGGACCTGCTCCTGAAGGAGCGGGAAAGAGAGGACCAGAGCACCAGCCCCTAAATTCCAGCTCCTGTAGGGAGTGGAAGGGATGGCTGCTACCCATCGCACATCCCAGGCCATGTGGAGTCTCTGCCCCAGATGAGTGCCGGTTTGCTGTTTTGTTGGGAGACTAAAGATTAGGATTCCAGATATGGCACTGGAGGGAAAATGAGTGTTCAGTGGAGGTGTTCTGGCCAGTCTCCCCAGACTCTGAATCAGGGGCTCAGCCGAGCCCTACTCTTGGGCAAGCTGGGACAATGGCTTTGAAAATGAGAGCCTCCTTCTGCCCCCTACCCAGTGATTGCTATGAGATTCTCTCATAGGAGGAAGTCACAGGCAGGGCGCAGGTTTGTCAGGCCTCTGTCACAGCTGCCCAACACTGCCCTCATCCCAGATGGTAGGAGGCACCTGAGCGGGAATCATCAAATGAGCCAAAGGCACCGGACAGTGGGTTAGGAGTTGCTTAACAAGCAAGTGGCTGGCTGCTCTTCCCCCCTTCGAGAGAGTGTGGCTGTCCTAAGGGAAGCAGTAGGGGGTGGCTATTCTAAGGGACTACAGGCTGGGCCTGCCACAGAAGCCTGGCCCTGTGCTATCTGCCCCCTTGGTGCCCAACCACTCAGCAGAGGCTATGGAGCTAGAATGGCTCCACAGCAGCCCTGGAGGAGACAGCAGACACCTGGCCTGGGATCTTCTGAGAAACAGGTGGACATCAGAGGGAAATGAGGCACACTGGCTCCAACCAGATGTCCAAACTGAAAACCACCCTGAACTACTCCATCTTGGGACACTCGAAGCGCCCAGGCGGCAGCCACCCTATTTTCTAAGGGCCTCCGTGGCAGGGAGTGACAAAAGGCTGCCTACTTCCTCCAGCGTGAGGCGCTTCTTGCCTCTCCACTACTCAAATTCCTGGTGTGGAACCTGGCCCATGGGATCCTTGAGACTTGACTGTACCTCTGGTGCAGCCAGCCAGGAAGACATACAAATGTGAGAAACGGGGATTCCCCTGCCTCCTATGTCTCCACATGGCATCTTACACTGAACCCTTTCTCTAATCGCAGAGCAAACTGTTCCACCGTCCAGAGGAAGTACAGTGCAAGAGGCAGGGTCAGGAGGTCACACTGAGCAGCTCTGGGGAGGGAGGGTGAGGGGCATGTCTAGAGGTTGAAGATGATTTGAGAAGAGGCCAGCTTCCCAAACAGGTGAACAAAACATGGACAGGAGGTATGAGTCGACACCTTAGAGTCTGGGGGAGCCCCCTGAAGCCAAGAGGAAAAAATCAGGTCCCAAAACAACAGAAAGTAGTTTGCGGGATGCTGTTGGGGAAAACGAGGGAAGCCGCTTTCCAGGGCTTGTTTCCTAGAAAATATTTATTTAGAAAACTATTCACGCCCTGCTCTCCCTTCTGTGCTATGGGTTCTGGGGCATCATCCATGACACTCCGGGGCAGCCGCTTCTTTCATGTAGGGTGGAGTCCATTGGGTATAATTTCCTGCAGCTTCAAGTCCTTCCGGCCACTGTAGTTCTTGTGTTCACTACTTGTCCAGGCCCCTGCCACTGGGTCTCCGCATGGAGCTATGAGGGCAGCCTGGCCTAGGTTTGCATGCCCCTCCAATGGCCAGTGGGAGTAGCATCGCTGGGGAGGCTCCGACCTCCTCCTGTCCCGGAAGCTCAGGGCTGGAAGCGCGGGGAGCTGATGTGAGGCTGATGGAAGGCAGGCACGCTGTACACCACCTCCGGGGGCGAGGGCGTGCCGCTGGCCAGCACAGAGCACAGGGGCTCGTGGCTGCTCAGCACCGAGGTGAAGTACTTGAGCTCCTCCGTGAGTTGTTTGATCTCCTTGCGCAGAGCTGCGTTCTGTTTCTCCAGGTCTTCGCTCTCCTGTCAAGGGACAGTGGGCAGGATGATGAGTGTCAGGGAAGGTGGGAAGGTTGGTGGGGGCGGGAAGGAGGTGCGTGGGGGCGGGGGTGGGGGGCAGATTCATGCACACATGAGGATGTGCGCAAATATCGTGTTTGACTGATAAGAACAGCAGCAATTCCACACAGGCTGTTTCATCTGTGCCTAGCACTGTAACGAAATGCTGGAGGCTGAGTAGTCTGTTTGAGCTCAGAGTCCTGGAGGTTTAAGGACATGGTGGCTGAGGGTCATGCGTGATAGAAAAAAGTGGATGGGCAAGTGGGGAGTGTAAAAAGAAGCGTGTGTGTAAGAGAGAGAGAGGGGAGGTCAAGTCCCTTTGTAACAATCCGCTTATGATACCCAGCCTCATCCCTCAAAAGTGAGAGAGACAAGCTGGGCATGGTGGAACATCCCAGCACCGAGCATGTGGAGGCAGGGGGATTGGGAGTCTGAGGCCAGCCCAGGCTAGACAGGTCACCCTGTCTCCTAATAGAGGAGTCTAGGGGGCTGGGATACATGAGGCAATGGAGCCCTAGGTTCAATCTCCAATACTGAAAGGGAAGAAAGGAAAGGAGACCGGAGGGCTGGAGAGAATGAAGGGAGAGAGAGTGAAAGGATGGAAGAAAACAATAGAAAAATTGAGAAAGGCATCAGTGACTCAGCAACATAATCTCCCCTTGCTGGCACCCTGTCCCCCAAACACACACACACGAGTTTGGTGGGGACACCATGGAAAACCTCACCCGGGGGTGTGTGTGTGCTCGGGTGCGTGCAGGCATAACTGCATGTGTGCCTCTGGGCTGAGTGTGGCAAGCATATAATCGGGCCAGAGCCTGGGAGAGTAGAAAGCAGTTTGTGAAACACTTTCTGCCCGCTAACTCTGCCACTAACTCACACACCATGCCCCTGCTGTTTGCATTTGTCTGACAAGGACCGCCCGTTTGGCTTGGGGGTTCTAGGATGTGTAGGGCCTTCCTGAATAGTGAGGACCTGCAATGGACTTGGCATTCCATTCGCCCCCCCCCCCCCGCCACCACTGTGGGTTTTGCAATCCTGTTCCAGGTCCTCCAGGGACCCTGGGCGCAGGACCCAGTAGATGCTACGGGCTTTTCTACACAATGTAAACCTATGACGGAGTTTACAGACGTAGGAAGAGGTTGTCAATAAACAGCCACAGAATGGAAAATTTATGACAATATGTGATAACCGGAGTTATTTAAACCATATACACTGTTTATTTCTGGAACTTTCCAGTTAGTATCCTCGGGCCGCAACTGGCAAGGAATAACTAAAACCGTAGAAAGTGAAACCTCAAGTAAGGAGTCCTGTGCTCTGTGTGTCACTATGGAAGCACCAAGCATTTTTGTCCAGAAACACGTTTCCGTGATAGTAAAGGACTGCCTCATTTACCAGCCCCCAGGGCGCTCCGGTGCACAGCAATTGCTGAGGCACGGTTTCTCTGGACAATGGGATTCCCAGAGCTGAGTAAAATGGATTCCTGCTAAGAACTGGGGCCTCCCCAACTCCCCGAGAGAGCCAGCGGTACTGGAGGGGCAAAGGAACAGGCAGGCTCCCAGGCAACGCCTACTTCTGCAGAGCTGGGGTTTGGGGAGAAATCTGAAGTCTGGAATCGGAGCTTCTCTTTTCCACGTGTGTTTGTGTGCAAACATGTACGGGTGTAGGCACATCGGTGCATGGTGTGTGTGCACTCCCTCACCCCACTTTCTGTGGGTGCCAGAGATCCAAACTCAGGTCCCCACCTTAGGACTTTACCAACCAAGCTGCCACCCCAGCTCTGGAAATCTGAGCTTTAAGAAGGTGTCTAGGTCGTGCTAATGACCAGGCAAGTTTGAAAGCCCGATTAAATAGGATACAAATAGTTAAAGCAGGCTTTACTTATTTAAGCAATTATTAATTACTTATTAATAATAATAAATATTAAGAATAATAATTAATTATTTAAGCAATTATTTATAAATGCCTGCTTCAGTGCCAAACGAACTTCAATGTTTGTTGACTGACTGGCTGATAACATCAGTTGTTGGCATGAGAATGTTGACTCAAAAGTATAGCGGTTAGCGGATGTACGATAACTTGACATTTAAAGTTTGCCCTAGCTGATCCAGCAGGAGTGAGCGACGGGCTGGTGAGAGACGGCATGTATCGGTTACGCTGCTAAAGGTCCAAACCCAGGACAGTGATGGGACCCTGGCCTCGCTCATCAAGCTGGCTTCCATTGCTTTTGAAGGTCGGATGTGAGCGTGCCCCAGCCTCAGCCTCATTCTCAACCCCTTCAGAGCTAACCAAGGCCCCTAGCCTGGTGCAAAGGGAACCCCCATCTCTAGAGCCGGGGTAAGGGAAGCCGGAAGCTGGAAGGTGATCGGTCCCTGGCTGCTGCTCCTGGGGGCTGTGGCCAGCTGGGCATTTCACTGCTGTTTTGTTTGCTGGCACATCCCAAAGGGAGGTCAGCAGGCCCTTTACCAGGAAGGCGGCACCCCTTTACTGAAAGGTGGGCGAAATGAACCTGGGGGTGCGGTATGCTAAGACGGGAACTGGGGCCCGGAGTCCTGGCCCTTTCCTCCAACCCCTCTCCTCGCCCCCTCTGAGAGTTTCCACTGGTGACAGCATTTACTGTAAGTTCCGTGCTCCGCAGAGCCTGGGCAAACCCCCAGGCACCAAGGAGGGACCGACCCAGTGGGCGGCTCCGATCTTCTCCCCGCCTAGAGGCTGGCCCAGCTTTCGGGAAGTGACTGCAGGGCAAGTCACTAGCAGGCTTCTCCTGTCACCTCCTGAGCCTGAGATGCCAAAGCCCAGGCTCGGGCAGACCAGGCTAACCACTGCCTGCTCCCTCTAACCGTGAGGCAAAGTTTTTCTTTACCTCGTAAAGCCAGACTGCTACTTGAAAAAAAAAAAAAAAAGCCTGTAAGCGCAAGGCCTTGCCGGCAGTGGCCACCCCCTAGAGAAAGAATGACTTCCCTTGTAGGAGGAAGTGGCTGCCCCGGGCCCCATTCCTCTACCCTGCCAGGGGCAGCAGCCCCCCCCCCCCCCCCCAAGAGGACTCACATAGCTAAAGGGACAGTTGGAGGCAGCTGTTTATCCACAGAGACAGCAACTATGCCTGATAACTTCCCAGTGTGTGCAGGGAGCAGAATTCAGTGAGGGAGTATGTGTGGGTGTGGGGGTGTGTGTGGGGGGTGGAGGAAATTTCCTTCTACCCAGCAGGCCCCTGGCAATGGTGGGGAGAGCAGCAAGCCTGGCTCCTGGCTCCACCGCTAGCCTGTGTTATGCCATTAGACCCTCAGGGTTCTCACCAAGTCTGCTGCTGTCAGTGTGAACATCCTACTGAGGAGGCCGATAGAGAGACCTGGAGCAAAACCATCATGCCTAGTTTCCTAAAACGCCCACGGGCTGGTGACAGCAGCTGTGAGGAGAAAGTGCTAGGGTCCCCCTCACACAAGCCTCTTCTCAGAGGAGCAGAAGCTTCTAATAATGGACCCGAAGACCCAGAGCCAGGAAGGAGACCTGCAGGGCTCCACTTGGGTTCCTTCCTCCCGCCTCTCCTGAGCGGAAGGCCTGAGGACAGAGGTGAGCCGGGGGCTCTCAGGAGCCAGGAGAAGTCCCCAGCCCCCTGTGCCCACCCCAGGGACGGCAGTCCTAGCAATGATTGCACACATAGACCGTGCCCCACACAACGTCACACAATACCACACGTTGAGCCAGCCACACCCCTGAAGCCACAGAGTTGCCCACTTCCACCCTGCCAGCCTGGAAGAACCCTCCATCGAGGGCCCCATCCTCCAAAAAGAGCCGGGGCCTGGCTCTAGGGCAATGGTGAACTCCAGAGGTGGTCATGGCTGGGTGGCCCTAGGGGGACTCACTTTTCCTATTGAGGTCGAGTTGCTTCTCTTGAAGACATGATGACTAGTCCAAAATGATCTTCAGCCTTAGCCGGATACTGGGTCCTCCGGGAAGCACCAGTGATGCCGGTGACGGGTTCTAACTGACTAATTCTGGGCTAAGCCTGTTACAGGCTCCACAGGCTTCTGTTGGGGCAGCTAAGGCTGATGGCCACAGAAACAGAAGCGTCCCCAGTTTTTCTCCAACATTTCAGACTCCAAATTGGCTACCTAGATGTATTTGTAGATAAGAGCCTATAATCCCCCGGCCTTTTGGTATTTTTGTGCATGTGTCTGTGTGTGTGTGTGTCTGTCTGTCTGTCTCAGGCATCAAGATTTAAATGTATGTGTATATATAGCACACACACATATACACACACTATATATGTTATAAATATATAATAATATATATTGTTTTTGAGACAGAGTTTCTCTGTGTAGCCCTGGCTGTCCTGTACTCACTTTGTAGAGCAGACTGGCCTTGAACTCACAGAGATCCACCTGTCTCTGCCTCACTGAGTGCTGGGATTAAGGGCATGCATCACCATGCCTGGCTACACACACACACACACACACACACACACACACACACACACACACACAATTTTTTTTTTTTTTGAGAGTCTTATTATGGAGCCTAGTTGGCCTGGAGCTGGCTGTGTAGATCAGGCCGGTCATAAACTCACGTGTGCTGGGATTTAAAGAATGTGCCCCACGACCCACCCTTTTAAGTATTTTATAGCTGTCATCATATTTAATCTTTGTAACACCATTGCACAACACAGAACATCTCCCTTTTACCAAAGAGGGGAAACTGAGGCACAGAGAAGTTAAGCAGCATGCTAGGGGTCACATAGCTTGTAGGCTGTGGCACAAACACCTGCTCTTTGTCTCCTGCCTTGGGAGCCTGGATTAGCCCCTGCTCTGTTCACCTGCCAAAATTACCATTCCATTTCCCCTACCTCCAAAAGCTAAGGTTCACACCCCTCACCTGCGGGTCATCTGACACCACTTCTGTCAAGAGCCGGGGGTGGCTAAGGAGGAGGCTTCCTGAGGCCTGGGAACATTCTGGGAAATCCCCTGTTG